GTCATAGCAGCAAACTCAGCAGGAGAAGCACATTCATCTGCAAACGTCAGACTGGATTATGTTGAAGAGAAGGTATTTTTCTATGTTTTTATAAATGACACGTTGTAAAATTAGCACTTTTTCCTCTGCTTTTCCTCAATATCCCTTCATTTGAACGATGATATTCGTAAGGTCGATAGGTGAAGTAGAGTTTAAAACTTGCAAAATACCCTAAATGGAATCTACAGTATGTGCGGTATACCATTATTAGTTGGTCTTGTAACTATTATCCCAGTGGTTTATTGTAAAAAGTAAAGTAAGTAAAAACTCCAAAAAATTACTTCGAGGAATCTAGCTGTAAAATGAAATTTTCTAAATTTTGATCAGATGAACCTGAAGTGTAAGATTGGCAGAATTTTAATTTTAGGTTCAAATAATTCAATTATGAGAGTAACAATATCCTTATGCGCTTTTCACAAGATTTTCCTATTTTACAGGATATCTCGCCGACCCCACCCTCGTTCGTCGTTTCACCCAAATCAAAATTGATCATTGATGAATCCTCCACTCTAATTATCGTCTGTGACGTTCGCGGGAGCCCCGAAATGGAAGTCACATGGCTCAAGGATGGGCGACCACTAAATACCACTGAAAGAATCCGTTCAGAGCGTGATGGGCTAACTTGTAGACTTGTCATAGCAAACGTTACCACTGGAGATGAAGGGAAGTACACAATCATAGCGAAGGATGAAAATGGCGAGGCGAAGGCTGACACAGACGTTGTAGTGTCTCCAAAACGTGAAGCTGCTGAAAGTCCATCAGTGAAGATTGTAAAAGGACTCCCGGGCGCTGTGGAAGGGCTACAAGTGGAGAGTTGTGCGATGGATTCAGTATCCTTAACATGGACAAGTCCAGCGAACACTGGTGGATCAAAAATAAGTGAATACAAGATAGAACAGCGGACACCTGACCAGCAAGGTTGGACGGAAGTCGCGACTGTAACCCGGCCTAAATGCGACATCAAGAATCTTACTCCAAATACAGAGTACCGCTTTCGGGTGGCTGCAAGCAACTCGGAAGGACTCGGCGATTGGGCTGCTCCCGTCAGTGCGAAAACTTCCCCTGCAGGGTCTAAACCACAATTTATAGAACCACCTCTTCCTACACTCATCGTAGTGGATGGTCAGCCGCTGGTTATCTCAGCCAAGTTTACAGGCACACCCACACCTGCTGTCAGATGGTACAGAGATAGAAGAGAGATAACTGACTTGGATAGCATAACTGTGGACAGCGAGAGTACCTCGCTGACTATCTCTGAAGCTCGTCAAGGCGTAGATGACTCGTTGTACTCTTGCTTGATCGAGAATGATATGGGTCAAGCTTCAAGCGATATATCTGTCTCAATAATTCTTAGCAGCGAAGATACCACCGATCTTGAAACCCGCAGTGAACGCAGTGAGAAAGCCCCTGCTGGTACTCCTTCATTGCTGAAACCTTTGACAGACGAAACTGTTCAGGCTGGCCAACAGTTCGTGCTGAACTGTAAAATAACCTCGAAAAATGGTACGGTGGCCTGGTATCGTAACGACGATCGCGTAATTTCCACTGGACGTTATGAGCTTTTCAGCGCCAAGAATGGGCTTCAAAAATTGGTGTGCCATAACAGTGTAAGAGATGATTCTGGCGTCTATCGCTGTGTTGTGACAAATGAAAAAGGAATGGCACAAACTGAGTGTAAGGTTACTGTCAAAGACTCAGCTGAACAAGTGACACCCTCATTCAAACAACCTCTAGAAGATACCACGACTATGTTAGGAAAGGATATTGTCCTAAAGTGTCATGCAGTCGGCTGTCCTGACCCTGAACTCGTCTGGACAAAGGACGGCGAACGACTTGCTACAAGCAGAAAAGTTCACCTTGTCTTTGATGAACAAGGCGGATCCGAACTCCAAATAAAGGAATGTACAGCTCAGGATGCAGGAATATACCTTTGCACGGCTACAAATAGCGCTGGTGTACAATCAACACAGTGCACACTTACAGTTGTTAGTGTGGCTGGAAAAGATGCTCATCTAGTTATAGCAGAGGAGGAGAAGGTGGCAGCACCAAGATTTATTCGCGCTCCACCTTCAACAATGGAATTCAACGAAGGAGCTCAATTCAAGTTGATTGCTAAGGTATTTTCTTCATAGTTTTACTTTCATAATCGTGTCCTTGAAAACTGCAAAACTTCCCCTTTTGTTTGCTACGCATTCGCTTAAATTTTCATTTATCCATCCATCCATTCACTTCGAACCATTCTGATCCACTCAACTAATAAAATCAGTTCATTTCGAATCATTTATTCACTTGCTCA